TTCTCTGTTTCACAGTGGGCTACCGCTAGCATGCCTCCATATTCCTTCAAGTACTCAAGTTCGGTGTGTTCTCCTATGTTCTCCTCTGGATTTCCAAAGCCACCTTGTTCCTGGAATGTGGGATATGCCCCTCTCTGCTGCTGCTTTTGCAACAGCTTATGGGAAGCAAACAAGCATGAGGGAATTTTGAGCAAGATGCTGGGACACCAACCTTGGAGAAGAAGCAAGGAATGTAGAATGCATGTTGACCATCCAAACAGGACGAAGATAATGATTAATCGAATCTCCCGCAGGTTTAAATGAGATATGAACTGGGAGATAAATGAGATGGGAACTGGGAGGGAAGGCAGTCCTCTTTTCTTGCAGCTGGAGTGCTGCTCCTCAAGAGCCAATCCCCACCCCCTCAGAAATGATGTGTTCCATGTGGATTTTCGGCCTGGTCCTGAGCGTGGCGGGCACAGTTTGGGTATGGTGCCTTTGTTTTTTCTTCTTGCTTTCTCTCTGGTGGTTATTTCACAGAGCTCAAAGGTCTGAGTCAGTGTTATGCATGTCCTCCCACACTGTTGGCTCCCCCAGCTCTAGGCGAGGAAGGCAAGTTCCCAGATGGGCCAAACATCTCAAGAGTACAGGGTAATATGGCCCTAAGAGGGAGGCTTAGGGGGATCAACGTGTATAAATTCACTGGGGAAGCTTTAACATTTGTAACTCAGGCTTACAACATATTTTTTAAAGGAAATATGTCTTTGCCAGCTTAGTTCCTACAAAGCCTTGAGATAGTTAATACTAGTTAACATAAAAAAAACTCACATAAGTTTTTAAACCTAACTCTTATCATCATTATTATTATTATTTTGCTATTTGTCCAGAATAAGCAGAATAGTGGTTTAATATGGTTTTTCTGAAAGGTAGTTTTTGTGTCTCTTTTCAGACAAATACAAAACAAGTAAGCTATTTTTGCAAATATATTACAAAGCAAAGCCAGGAGAGATTAATTAATAAGGCAATTTGGTTTTGGGAAGCAATTATATTCTTTTAAGGTAATTACTAAATACTGTAATAACTTCTAAAGTTTGACTACAGAAACCTATAGAAAAGAAGAGAAACTTTATTCAACAAGGCTTTTGAAACACTTTAATCTTATAAAAACATGATAAATATAGGCTGTGGATTATTCCAATTTATTTATTTTCCTTCATCACTCATAAACCTGAATACCAGAGCAGAAAAAAACTAAAAAGGGTTTCTAACTTAATTTTCTCCCTTATAGTAAAATAATAAGTAAACATTTTTATGAGAAATAAAACTAACATCATTTGATGTGATGATGTTTTGGATAATGTATAACTTTCAGTTATTTCTCCCTGTTATTGGCATAAATACTTAACTTTTACCTGCTTGCATTGTTGTGCCATTTTATTCTGAAGTATATTTGAATTTATAATTTTATTTCTTAGACAAAAAGATTGTACTTGTTACTTTAAATAAGTTGTTCTTGATTACCTGAATTAGTATTACTATTAATAGGGTATTTTTTAATGAGATGACAAATGTTAACTAATTATAAAAATAAACTGATGTTAAAATAGCAAAGTCCTTGTAAGTTGGTGGCAAAAATAGCTAAAATCTAAAACCTGCATTGATTTGTTGGGATATAAAGTCTTATTGGAAGAATACTTTTTATATCGTATTTCATCTCATAGATCACAATAGAAACATTTTTAAATCTGTGTTTCTATTATAAGGTGTTCAAAAATGTTGTCAGTCATGGACCATTATTTTTACTTGCACTCTACTTTTCCTCATTTCAAACACAAAGAAACTATTACATGAGTGAGCAACTTAAAAAGCATGTCTGAGTTTAGGTGAACTGACCACATTTGTATCCTTGGAATATATTTGCTCAAATTATGGACCCATAAGGTCATAGAAGAAACTTAAAGGCGAGACAGACATTAAGCCAAGACGGTGCAGGCTTTTCCCTACTGGAACAGAAATTATAGGAGGAAGAACCCGTTGAATTTTCCAATTATCTATCTCTAGATCTTAACGAAAATGAAAAGGTAAATTTTAACCAATTTTGCTGCTTCAAATAATTTCCCTTTCATAATAGAGCTTTGAAGAGGACTACCATTTAATCAATGCTTTAGTATCAAACACAGTTAAGAAATTTGTACAACTTAACTCCTTTAATTCTCACAACTTCATAAAATGGGTATTAGGATTCTCATTAGAAAGATCAGAAATCTGAAGCTCGCAGAGGCCCAGACGCTGGCAGTCCTAACCTCTGGGAAGCCCCCTCCTCTTCTTGGGGTTGACAGGCATGCCAGTGTCTTTTCTTATCTCCTCACTGTTCCTTTCTTTTGTGTCTGTAAATGAATCCTTAAAGACTACAGAGACCGATAAAGGTGAATTTATACTTGAAGGAGGAGGTGTGCGTGGCCCCAGACCTGACCCCAGACCTGCATCTTCCTGCAGAGAGAAAGACTGGCCCTTCTGTGCTGATGAAGACTGGGTGAGCAGTGGGCATGGGGAACGGGAGACTCCTTCCTTGTGTTGTTAGAAACATACACAGGCTGACCCATTAGGTCACAGAAAACTTTTCCAATGGAAGTAATCTAACAGTTTCTTATGTGTCAAATGGAAAAAGGCAAATTGAAAAGGAACCTAGTCCTGAGAGCACTATTTAAATTACCTCCCATACTCTGGTCATTAGTGGATTAGGAGATTGGATTTTAGTTGTCTATTCAGATAGATACTAGGAATCTGAATATTATGGCCTCGGGATTTCATGAGGCCTAATTTATGATTGAGGAGCCCCTCATTTCAGAATTTCTCTATGATCTTTGTCTAGTCCTCCTAAATTACTTTTAAATTAAAGGATGATCTGACGAGATTGAGGAGGGGAGCAATAGGAGCTGCATGGAAACCTTCAAAATTGTACTGAACCCAAGAGATAGGCCCTTAATGTAATGTTTTTCTTTTCACTTTCAGCACCAAAAATGCCCTTCCGGCTGCAGGGTACAAGGGCTGATTGAGGAAGTCAATCAAGATTTTACAAACAGAATAAACAAGCTCACAAATGCACTCTTTGATTATCAGAAGAACAATAAGGACTCTAGTTCAGTCATCAGGGATATGATAGAACAGTACAGAAGGTATTTTGCCGACTCTAACCGTAAGTATTACATATTTAGTGCTTTGATTTTATAACACACAGCAAAACAACAACATCAAAAATTCTAAACATGGTGTCTCCTTATAGCAACTGAGATTTCATTCCAAAATATTTCATGTAGAAACACATACCCTTAAGATACAGCTGAATTTTTAAGGAGGCGCTTGCAATTGTGTTGTTGTTACAATGTCAAGAAGAGTTCTTAATGGAAGTCAGAATTTTGGATTGAAGACTAGAATTTAAGTGCTTTCTTTTCAAAGGTACATACTGAAAATAAGTTGGACCCAACCTGCTGAGTAGACATATTTGTTTCTATCTTACAGACGAGGAAGCAGAGAGGTCAAGGAACTTGCTTAAATACCCAAAGCTGTCATGTGATGGAGTTGGGAGTTCTACCCATAGACTCCACTAAGCAGATTATGCAGTATTGTTGCTTATTTTTAATTAAAATTATATAGCCATGTTCTAGCTTTCTTATAGAACAAGGGCTCAGCCACATTAGGATCAGGAAGCATTGGGTTTGTTCTGGGCCTGGGCAGCAAGCTTAGTGAGACCCCCGGTCCTAAAGCCTTGCTTGACTCTTTATATCTTAGGAGACACTGGACTAATTGAAAGTCAATGGTGCAACATAACTGGCAAGAGAGTGATCCTGTTGAACTAAAACAACATAAAAAAAAGTTTAGGAAAAATTTCAAATCCACAGATAGGAAGAAAACCCTAGTAATAAAATCCAGAAACATAATTCCCAGTACATCATGTCTGGTTTTCAATAAAAATAAATTACAAGGAAAAAAGCATACATTAAAGAGGCAGAGCAAGCATCAAAACCAGACATGATTGGGGTGTTGGGATTATCAGACGGGGAATTTAACTCAAATATGATGGATATGCTAAGGATTCTAATGAATAAAGTAGACAGCATGCCCATGCAAGAACATGGGCAGTGTAAGCAGAGAAATGGAAATCCTAAGAAAGAACTAAAAAGCAGTGCTAGAGATAAAAAACAACAGACAGCCCTGACCGGTTTGGCATTGGCCTGCAGACTGAAGGGTCCTGGGTTTGATTCCAGTCAAGGGCATGTACGTTGGTTGCGGGCATATCCCCAGTAGGGAGCATGCAGGAGGCAGCTGATCGATCTTTCTCTCTCATCGATGTTTCTAATTCTCTATCCCTCTCCCTTCCTCTCTGTAAAAAGTCAATAAAACATATTTTTTGTAAAAAAAACAGACCGAGTGAAGAATGCCTGTGATAGGCTAATTAGAAGACTGGGCATGGTTGAGAGGATATATCAATAGAATCCTCAAAAACCTATACATTCAATTTATACAATAGTCCAAATCTATAGAATGTACAACACAGAGTGAACCCTAAGGCAAACTATGGCCTTTGGGTGATTATGATGTATCAATGTAGGTTCATACTTGGTTAAAAAAAAAAAAAGACCATTATGATGAGTGATGTTGATAATGAGAGGCACTATGAATGTTTGGGGGCAGTGGGTAGACGGGGAATCTCTATACCTTCTCAATTTTCTTGGAAACCTAAAACTGCTCTAAAAAATGAACAATTGATAACAATACATACAGTAAGAAATAAAAATAGAAAGTTGTGTGGGACAAAAAAGAAAATCCAGGAACATGTTCAAGCCCTGTGAGTAAGGATATGATAAAATAATTGGAATGGTATCAAACTAATTATTTTATCTCCTAATTATCTTTAAAATTCCAAAGAGATTTTCTTCTGCAATTATTTGGAATTCTAATTGCTGGTAGGGCACCTTAACTGACAACCATGGATGACTACAGGACATAACATTGTCCAAAAAATCAAACGCCTCATAGATTTGCAACTCACAAATTAAATACCAAGAGAACAACCTATTATCAAAGTAACATGGGGAATATTTCTAAGTAAATTTCCTTCTTTTACTGGCTATTTCAAGCAAATCACTCAATAGCTGCTTCAATATCCATATTTTCTATCTCAGACAATGATAATTCATATTACCGAGTATCAGAAGATCTGAGAAGCAGACTGGATACCCTGAACCGCAAAGTCGTAGAGCAGATACAGCAGATCCAACTTCTGCAGAAAAATGTCAAGGCTCAGCTGGTGGAGATGAAGCGACTGGAGGTAAGACAGTGTGTGGCCCTGTCACCAGGTTTCCATATTTTGAACAGTAGGAAAATGGGAGGCAGCAGTCGTTCACTGAATGCCTCCTGTACATAGAGCAACGTGCTCTATATCCATTATCTAACTATAAAGTAAGAATTATTCCCCCACTCTACAGGTGGGAAAAAAATTAAGCTCAGTGATATTAAGTAAAATTTCTCCAGGCACACAGATAGTAAATGTCAAAATCAAATATTCAGTCCCTGCTTATCTTATTCAAATTCCTGATACTGCCGAGCTTCCAAGTCCTCAGCCTCCCTGAGGATCACTTCCTCGGTGTTTCCTTTCACAGGAAATAGCAACTTGCTCTTCACCTGTTCTCAGATAACCCAAATAGTTCCTGTTGCTTCTCTTGGCTAGCCTAACAACACCCAGCATTTCTTCCACTGCGGTTACTACATAAATGGAGAATAAAATATGGGTCGGTAGGTCTCCAAGTCAAAGAAATGAAAACCATTTCCAAGGAATAAACTACTAAGAACTCAATAGACATCTTTTATTGATTTAGATCCACCTTTCTTTCCTTATCTTTCTCCTCCTTTCTCTAGGTGGACATTGATATTAAGATCCGATCTTGCCAAGGGTCATGCAGCAGGGCTGTAGCACGGACGATAGATCTACAGGACTATGAGGACCAGCAGAAGCAAGTTGAACATCTCATTGCCAAAGACCTACTTCCGCCTAAATACAGACAACAGTTACCACTGTTAAAGATGAGACCAGCTTCAGATTTCGTTCCCAGAGTGGACAAGGATAAGCTTCAGGCATCCTTTCCAGAGTTAAAGGCTATCCTGGAAATGCGGCAGATGGCAATGGAGATAGAGAGGCCGGGGACACCTGGGACTCCCCGCGGAGACTCCGCTGCTCGTGGAGCAGGATCAGCACCTGAAACCCCCAGGAAGCCCGGACCTGGCAGTAGTGGGAATCCGAAACCTGGGAGCTCTGGACCTGGGGGTGCTGGTACTCGGAACCATGAAAGGCCACATAGCACAGGGCATGGGAGCGTCAGGCCTGACAACCCAGACTGGGGCACATTTTCAGAATCTTCAGAAAGTCTAAGTCCAGGGACAAAGGAAGAGTACCACCACACAGGTAAACTGGTCACTACTGAAGGAGGGAGTTGTCTCTGGTGGCCTCACCTCCAGGCGCAGTTCATGCTCTAAAACGATTACTAAGACTGTGATAGGTGCTGGCGGCCGTACAGAAGTGACGAAAGAAGTGGTCTCCTCTGAGGATGGCTCGGACTGTGGCTCAGATTTAGACTCGTTCCATACTTCGTCCAGGGGCAGCCTAGACGAATTCCGTCATAGGTTCCCTGAGGAGGCTGCTTTCTTAGACTCGTTACCTGGGTCGAAAGAGTTTCACTCTATGGGCTCAACATCTGACCCTTTCGCGAACTTAGAGGAAACCAGTTCTCACCACGTCAGCGAAACTCATACCACCAAGAAAGGCCGAGCTAAAGCTCGCACTGCCAGAGGTATCCGCACTTCTCTAGACTAAGTTATTCTTGCGATGTGCTCCCACAGCACCTTGCGCTTCTTTCCTAGCCCTCTTTAATGCTCTATTAAAATTACAGCTTTTTGGTTTGTTTTTCATGCTCGACTGTAAATTCCACGGGGGCAGGGATTTGGTCTATCATGCTCATCTCTGTATCCCAAATGCCTAACAGTGCAGAAGGTCGCCATTCAATAAATTCATGTTCAATGAATCCCTCTGAAACTCGATTTTGAGTTTGTCTAACCAAATTATTTTACCATTCAACATATGCGTTGTTGGAATTGTTACCCAGTTTACTGACCGTATTGTTTGGAATAGCTCTCAGTTGAAGCTGAGATCAAGTTATAGTAGTGCTAAATGTTGCTTAGATATCTTTGCTGGTTACTTGCTTTTAATCAGTACATGCAAGTAAAATTCCAAATTCATTGAGGAAATCCCCTTTGCAATTTGTAGGTATAAGTGCCTCTTGTTTGCTTATGATTCATTCCAGTGTAAATGCATGTTTTCTCTATGGAGGGAAGGAAGGAAGGAAGGAAGAAGGGAGGGAGGGATGGAGGGAGGGAGGGAGGGAGAAGGGAAAGGAAGCCAGTATCTACCTTCATTTAATCTGGGCCATTCCTATCTTTGTAAAGTTAAATGAGAGTAACTTCTTCCAACCAGCTTAATTTGTTTTTTAGACTGTGATGATGTCCTCCAAACACATCCTTCAGGTGCCCAAAGTGGCCTTTTCAATATCAAGCTACCGGGATCCAGTAAGATTTTTTCAGTTTATTGCGATCAAGAGACCAGTTTGGGAGGATGGCTTTTGATCCAGCAAAGAATGGATGGATCACTGAATTTTAACCGGACGTGGCAAGACTACAAGAGAGGTTTCGGCAGCGTGAATGACAAGGGGGAAGGAGAATTCTGGCTAGGCAATGAATACCTCCACTTGCTAACCCTGAGGGGCTCTGTGCTTCGGGTTGAATTAGAGGACTGGGCCGGGAACCTGGTTTATGCAGAATATCACTTGAGGGTAGGCTCCGAGGCAGAAGGCTATGCCCTGCAGGTCTCTTCCTACAAGGGCACGGCGGGCAATGCTCTGATGGAAGGTTCCGTGGAGGAAGGCACAGAGTACACTTCTCACAATGGCATGCAGTTCAGCACCTTTGACAGGGATGCAGACCAGTGGGAAGAGAACTGTGCAGAAGTCTATGGAGGAGGCTGGTGGTACAACAACTGCCAGGCAGCCAATCTCAATGGCATCTATTACCCTGGGGGCTTCTATGACCCCAGGAACAACAGTCCTTATGAGATTGAGAACGGAGTGGTCTGGGTCCCCTTCAGAGGAGCAGACTATTCCCTCCGGGCTGTCCGCATGAAAATCAGGCCCCTGGTGACCCAATAAGCAGAAAGAGTAGAAATGAGAGCACTCCGTTTTGTTTGGTGAAGTGGAGGAAAAATAAGGAAGATGAAGGAGTCAAGATTCCTTACTACCTAAAAAATTCCCCGGTGCTATTTTATTATTCTCTGTACTGTAGCTAAATGTAACTGAGTCATATTAGTGCTTCAAAAAAAATAAAGTGATGTGATTTTTTGTAAATCTTCCAACTAGCTCTGTGAGTTTTAAAATTTCTGAAAGGATACACCAAGGGACATCTGATCTCAGTGCATCAGAAAGGGACTCAAAAGCTCCTCTTCCTCTCTGCAGCAGTGTTGTTTGGAGAGCTTCTCTTCCCACACCAAAGTCATAGGGCTGTTGCACAGTAAAGAAGTTATTTCATGCAGGCCATTTGAATGACTTTACTAATATTTTTAACTTGCAAAGCACTCCGTTTAACAATGGCTGGCTTGTGCAGAGGAATTGACTAAGTTCTTTTATCTTTTCTGTTAGTAAGCAAATCTATGCAGGCAGGAGAGCCATTCTTTCCAAATAGAAATAGAAATCTCTTCATTAAGTTTTCAATGAAGACCACAATACACACTTATTTCCCCCAGAGTCTAATCAATTTCTTTAAATAAAAATACCTGGGAAAATGCATTTAAATTTTTAAAAAATATTTACAACTCTTCCAAAAGCAGACGGCATATACAATTGACAATTTCCACAGCATTCATCTCACTTTATTTTTCTACTGATTATAAAGTATAGTCCGTGACACATTAGTTGTTATGAAAGTAAAACAATTTGTTTGAAAACATCTCACTAAATATGATTTATACTCTTCATAAATTCAACATATTTACATTGGTCGATATTTTATTTTGATAATTGCTTCTTTGATCTTGGTGGTCTTGGCTCCTGCTCCCCATTTTTAACTCATATTTTCTTTTAGTGAGAACTACTTGCCATTTATTCTTGAAAATATATTAAAAGATCCCAAACACATTGGGATCCCAGTACATTGCCCTCAATTGCATAGTTTCTATCACAGTGTAACTGCATCCTCTCTCCTTGTAAGGAAAGGAGGGAGGAAAGAAGAGAGGCAGGGAGGAAGGGAAGGAGAGAGGGAGGGAGGAAAACTAAGGAGGAAGGAAGGTGGCTAGGGCTAGGGACCAGAGCATGGGGAGCAGAGGGAATGTGGGCATAAGAACTTGCAATTGACTTACATATGAAGCCCCAGTATTCTTGCATTTCCTTATGTGAAATTAAAAATCCTTGCTACAAATAAGTGATATACCTCCAAATCTTTGGATACTTGGATAAGAACTTCTTCAGAATTAAAAGAAGCTTCATTTATTTCAGACAATGAAGTTGCCTGTTATCTCTATGCCCACATGTTGACACTCACACATTTGGAGCAGGAAGAATTTTATTTTCCAGCATATCACATTATTAGGGACAGAATCATGTCCTAAAATGAAAGTGACGCTGAATGTGAAGGACTATGCATTTCTCATTCATTTTGAAGGCTTTGTGTTTATTAGCAAAGAATAGGTAACTTCTTTTAATTTAATAAACAGTAGCCAATATTAGCACAATCATGAAATTAGAGATACAATTTGGTTGTGAGAGGACAATGAATATCTCTTTTCCATTTTACCTTATCTTTAACCTATTGCCCTATTTCGTTTGTTTCTGAAATTAAATATCAATTCAACTTCTCTGATTCACATTCACATGGAAGCCCACTTTAACTTGATTTTCACTTGGTTACCACTCTCTTGAAATTCTTCTCCTTAAAGTCAACAATAACATTGCAGTACTAAATTTAATTTCCTACATTCAAGCCTCTTCCTGCCTGACCCCCTTGAAACATCTGCTACTATGGTCCCCATCCTTCTCTTCAACCTGTAATTTCTCTTGTTTCTGGTATACCACTCCCACCGGTGTCCTTCCCCAGTCTTTTTAACTGGCCAATTCTTTCTTAGACGACTCCTTAAATGGAGGAGTTTCTCATTACAATAATATTAAGACTCATTTTTAACAGTTGGAAATAGGTTTGACCCATGTGGCTTCAATAAAACAAAAACTTATTTCCCGTTCACAGAAATGTCTACAGAAATATGTCCCCATAGTGTCTTTAGGAAGCCATCATCCTGATAAACGGCTTCCATCCTTAAGTTTACCTCATGGTCCAAACATCATGTCCTGTGGAAATCTGGAAGGAAGAGGAGAGGCAGAAGAGAACACAAGTGCTTTCTCTCTTTGAAGGAACTTTCCTGGATGCTCCATACAGCACTTCCACTTAAATGTCATTAACCACAGGTCAGTCACATGGACACACCTCGCCACAGGAGAGGCTGAGACACCTGTTACCCTGTTATACAGGCTCTCCTAAGTATGATTAGGATCTGTTCCTAAGGAGGACCCAGAAAATACATGTGGAGTAGGCAATTAGCAGGTTGACCAGACCATCTTTTCTCACCCTGTGTATATATTTTCTCCTTGGTTGATTTGACAGTCATCACAGTTTTAACGGGGTGGTGATAGCCAAATCTAAAACTTCAGCCCTGTAATTCAGATCCATGATTTCAACTAACACTGAACACATCCAGTTAGAGATTTCTTGTCTAAGATCAAACCAATTACCTTTTCATCAAAACCTGTTGCAACTTTATTTCTTATCCTAGTCAGGGACATCATTAAACCTCTAGTTTCCTAATTTAGAAAATTTGGGCTCCTTCTCTGCTTCTTTATTAAAATTCTTATATCCAATCTATTCCCAAACCATCTTCTAATCTAGAATTGGCCATTCCTATAGCACGTTGTGGTCTGATGTTTATCTTGTGTTAATCTTTCTCATTTAGGCTGCTTACAGTCTCTTTACCTTTTGCTTTACCACGCGTCTTTTTTGTTCATTCAATTCTCAACAAAGATACTCTCAAAAATAAACCCAACCATGTCTTTCTCCTGCTTAATGCCTTATGTTAAGGTTGAGTTAAAACAAAAGAAAATGAAACCAGACAACAAATGGGTCTGGGCTGCCTGCCACTACTTGAGCCAATTAATGAGAGCCAGGGTTGAATCATATATGAGCGTTTATTCCAATAATGCCAGCAGTATGGGAGAGCAGCAGGTCACCCAGGAAAGTCTGCTCTGTCTCCCCCCAATAAGCCACTGCTTATATTTGGTACAAGGACAAAGATGGGGAAGTAGGCAAAAGGAATGAGCATAGGTATCCAAAATGGATATAATGGTTACAGTCTATAGGCAATGGAGGCTTGGGGTTTGCAAAGGGCTGGGGCCTCCAGTTTCTGCAACAACGTTGTTAATCTTTCCATGATAATAGGCAGCTCCCAGATGAAGAGGATAGGCCATATTTCTAGGTCCCTGGTACAACTCACAGCCAGGTTAGTATGTGAACATGATTAATATTCTTATAATTAATAGCTAGTCCCCAATATCCTATTTCTGTCCCCAACAAAGACAAAAAAACAGACACATAGATACAGAGAACAAAATGATGGTTGCCAGAAGTGAGGGGTTGGGAGGATGAGTGAAATAAGAAGTACACGTTTCCAGTTGTAAAATAAATAAATCATGGGGATACAATGCACAGAGTAGAGAAACTAGTCAATAATATCTTACTATGTTTTGTGACAGATGGTTACTAATCGTGGTGATCATGTTATCTATATATATAAAAAGCCAGCGACCTGAATGCCATAACAACCAGAATGAGCAGTCACTATGACTCTCACTGCAGCCAGCAAACCAGCCCGATCTGGGGGTGGGGCCGGCCAGCCAACTTCAAACGGCCCCTTCCCCCAGCCAGCCACACTCGAGATTGCCCTACCAATAGAGGGTGGGGCTGGCTGGCCAACCTCCTGCAGCCCCTCCCCTGGCCAGCCCCACCCCAGATCGGCCCCCCACCCCAATCAGGGGCAGGGCCTGCCAGCCAACTGCCTGTATCCCCTTCCCCTGGTTGGCCACACCCCTGATGTGCCCCCACCACCCTATTCAGGGGTGTGGACAGCTGGCCCACCACCCACAGATCCTCCCTATCTGGCCCCACCCCTGATCATCCCCAAGCTCCTCCACCCCAGACAACTGTGCCCCCAATTGCCCCCGCCACTTCAATTGGGGGTGGGGCCCACCAGCCAATTGCCCCAGTCCCTGCCCCCAGCTGGCCTGATCCTTATCAGGCCCTGATTGGGGCGGGCCATCCTGCCAACCTCCTACCATCTCCTCCTCCTGACAGGCCCGGCCTCGATTCACCCCAATTGAGGCCAGTTCGGCCAGACCCCATCTGTGCACGAATTCATGCACTGGGCCTCTAATAAGGTATACAAATGTGTAATTACTATGTTGTAAACTCTAAACAAATGCAATATTATGTATCAACTATAATAAAAAATAAAAAACTTAACTCTTTCACAAATTGGTCTGTTTGTAACTTCTACAGTCATTCACTATATACTTTAGTCATTGAATTTCTCACTGGTATTATTAGACTACCAGGTTCTTTAATGATTCTGTGCCTTTCCCATCATACCACCCAGAAGCCTCCCATTCATCCCTTAAAATACAGATCAATAACATTCCTTCTGTGAACCCTTCCTTAATGCTTACTATTAAACACAGAACCAGGAATTATTCTCTAGGCCCTCATTTTTCTTGTTCATATCTCAAAAATATCAGTCAATCCCAAACTCTAATGTGTTTGTTATTATGGCACTAGATTGTGAATTCATTTAGGCATTTATATAATGTTTCCTGCCCTACATGAGAATGTCTCACATCTTTCAATGTTATACAGATAAATTTTAAAAGTTTCTTTAAATATTTTTATTTTATTTTACATGTAAAGATTTAATTAACCTAGAATTTATTTTCATATGTCAGGAAGGTCTACTTATGTGTTATTGGGGATGCATAGCCGGTGATGCTAAAGTCAATTATTAAGGGGTTCTTTGCCAGTGCAATTGAAATTCAATTTTGTTGAATGAAACTTTCCTTTGGTCCATCTGTAGACTCTCTCATGTGCTTATATCTCCTTGCTCATCTTTAAAGTATAGCTTTTGGAAGAAATACTCTCGCTCGTACTCTCCACTTTCTCTCTCTCTCTCTCTCTCTTTTCAGTCTTAGAACAGTTTGACTTTCATTTTCTACTTTTTTTTGTTTATTCTATGGGCTACTTAGAGCAGTCTTTAATTTCCAATT